CACACACACACACACACACACACACACACACACACACACACACACACGTGTGTTCTCAAGGCCACACATGAAGTGGAGAATTCTGACCTCGCAGGAGCTGAGCACTGAGGAGGCCGAGGCCGAGGACTGAGCTGTTGGGCAGGGGCTGCTTGTAAATGGCAACAGTGCCCTCCACATTCCAAACAGCTGGAAACACCTGGAGAGTTTTCACCATCACATACTTTGCTTGGGAGCTGGGTATAGCTGTGCACACTGGCAAGCCCAGCACTCAGGAGGTAGAGGCACGAGGGTCAGGTGTTCCCAGGAGTTCCCTGGCTATAGAGAGTTTGAGGCCAGCCTGGGAACACACAAGAGGCTGTCTCCAAAGAAGAAAAAGGTTTGAGATAGGTACTTAACTGGATTCAACAATTAATGCAGTGTAGACGTTTGTCAAAACTGCAGGGCATTCTGTTTCTTTTTCATTTTTAAAATTACATTTGTCTGTTTTGTCACGTGTGCTGTGTGTGGCTGTATCTAAGGCCAATTGTTTCTAATACAGCACCTCCTCCGAGAGTCCAAAGCTACCCATTCTCTTCTAGGCCTGGGTTAGACTTTTTCACTTCAGCTCTGGCTTCTCCCTGACCTAAGTCCGGATATTGATCTGGTAGACTGCTGGCTCCCGGCCAACTTGCGGGCTCCCTGGAAACAGCACACCCTTGGGTCTAGAGCAGTTCCCAGCAAATGGCAAAAGTGACTTGGTGCTCATCACTAACGCACCCCTCCCTTTTAAACCTCCAAGACAGCCGTCTGTCTGTCTCTTCCATGGCCTCTCCCACACCTCTCCTCCTAGTAGAGGTACACACAGGTGCCTATGTACCCATGAATCTATGGGTGCCTCTCTGTCTCCCTGCAGCTGCTCTTCAGGCCTGTTGCAAAGGTCTGGAAGCCCTCTCAATGGGCTCCTCCCCTCTCTCTGCCGTCCCTGTCCACTCTGCAGACAGCATGCCAACCTCCTTGAACTTCAGCTGTTGGCTCCTGCGTAAGACCTTCCCCCAAATAACTGGCAGCTTCCTGCTGGGATGCCCTCGAACCCCCAAGTTGGTGACAGGCACTGTTCAACATGTATAGGCTCCATCTATCCTCAGCTCACAGAACCATTGGTAATTTATTCTGAGAAGTCTTTGGTTGTCCTGAGATGAAAAATACACTCACCATTACACACACACACTCACACATACACAAACTCACACACGTATATATTATATATATATACACATACATCATATATATGTGTAGATATTTTAAGACAAACCAATTAAGATGAAAAATTAAGAAAGATGACTTTAGATATTTAAAAAGTCACCTCACACACAAATTAATCTCTTCAGGTCTTCCCCTCTCTCCCATTAGGCAGAATATTAAATTAGAGGATCAAAAATTTAAAACCACCCTTCCTAGCCTGGAGCAAAAAATACTAATACAAGAGATTTTAAAGCAATATGGATACCTAATGAATGGGAGACTCGCTTCCTTAGAATGAGGTTTTTCTTTTTTATTTTAATGAAGGGAAAATTGCATTTTAATTTTTATTATCTTCTGGGCATTAACATTTCTGTCAAAAGTTTATATAAGCAAGGAACTAGTGTTAGACACTCCAGAGAATTCCAGGACTTTTAGGTCTGTGAATGTTTTTTTGTGGATGTCTGAATGCTTATCATTGTGTTGGGATGAGACTCCCATTATTTTGTGTCTGATTGGATAGACTCCGCCAACCTGTTGAGTGTCTAGTGCGGAGGAGACCTTCCATTATTGTCTTAAATGTGTGGTCACGTGGGACCTTCATCAGTGTTCTGAGTGTCTGGTGCTGACGAGACTTCCATCACTGTGTCTGGTTGGGTAAGACCAACCACTGTGTGCTACGGTGGCTGTGGTGTTGAGACTTGATCACTGTGGTTCGTGTCTGGTGCAGGCGCGTGCTCTCACTAGATGGGGCTATTTAATGTGTAAAGCAGCACACTTAAAATCTTTAATCATAATCCTGGGTACCTATACATAAAGACTGCCTCTTTGCTTGCCCAGCTTTCATTTTATGCGCTTATATGGTTCTGAAGTGTCTCTTGCCTTCATCAGATCGTCAAGGGGGTCTGTGGTGCAAAGAGCTAATTGAGTTCCTTTCAAGCTAGTTTACAAAACATCAGATTCTGTGACAGCATCAGGTACCGAAATTTTTTGCTTTGTGCAACTGCTCTTGGGATGCGCTGCGTTCCATGCCTGAAAATGTTCTTCGACCTCTTCAGATCTGGGCTGGCTTTGATGCATTCATTATTCAAGTTTCCACTTGCTTCGATGCTGGCAGTAAACACAGCACGAAGGCCCTATTACCCAGTCCGATAGCTAAGGCCAACCTCACAGCTTAAAAACGTATTTGTGTTATAAATAGGAACAACTCCCTATTGCAGCAGACATCTTGGCGTTTAGAGAAGGCAGGCTGCTTCCATGGAGAGCTCAGTGTGTAATCCTGCCAGGAGGAAGACAAGGGAACACCCTGGGCAGCAAGGACTCCTGGAGCCAGGCCTGGAATCCCAGCTACTTGGAAAGCTAGGGCAGAGGCCTTGGCTCCAGATGGAATTCAAGGATGACCCGGGCAAGTTAGTGAGACTCAAGAGAGCTGAGCTGTTGCTGCAGCGGTAGAGTGCTCATCTAGCACGCATGAGTAGTAGGTTCGATACCCAGGAACTCCCCCAAAGAAGACTGTCTTCCATGGGGGATGGCAGAGACAGTAGAAGAGTGTCCAGCAAGCAGGATATGGAGCATCTGGGATAGGGGGCAGGGGGCAGTGATGACAGCAAAGATCTCACTTCCAGCCCCGTTGCTTGGCTGGTAAGATCTGTTGAGAACTGGTGGATCAGGAAGGTTCTAATGACCAGGTTTGGCTTTGGGTGTCATGGCCAGGTGATAACACTCAAAATGGGTGAGAAAAGAATTACTAAAAGTGACTCAATGCACCAGAGGTGACAGAGCGGCAGTCAGGTGGAGGTCAAAGCAAAAGTTTATCATGGGGAAAACTTACCTTTCTTGGAAATCAAAGCCTATGTTTCAAAGCTTATTATTTTATTTGTAATTATGTATGTAGATGTGTGTGTGTGTGAGAGCAAGAGATGGTAGAGGCCAGAGGTGTTAGATCCCCTGGAGCTGTAATTACAGGTGGTTGTGAACTGTCCAATACTGGTGCTGGGAAGTGAACTCTAATCTTCTCAAAGAGCAGCATAGGCTTCTAACCACTGAGCCACCTCTCAGCAACCCACCCGCTCTGCCATTTTTTTTTGTTTGTTTAGTTTTTTTTTGAGACAGGGTCCTGCTGTGTAGACCAGGCTGGCCTTGAACTCAAGAGATCCACCTACCTGGTGCCTAATTTTTACATCTTCTCTGCTTAGTATTTGGTCCCAAAAGGACAACTGCAAATTCCCAGACTCTACGTTACTTGTCAATATCAATAGTATTTGTGTGACGGCGGAACTGAAACACTGCTTTTCACTGGGCAGCTCGGAAGGAGGTGGCATGCAGTTTTCACAGAGCAGCTTGGACGGAGGGGGGGTGGCACGCTGGGTTGCACGGTGTCCAAACGCCCCAGGGTCTAAGTCCTGTTCCCTGTGAGTTATCTGGATTAGAGTCTTGTCTAGATGAAACCACATTACATTATGGCGGGACTTAAATCCAGCCACCGCTGTCCTAATAATGAGGAAATGAATTGGTTACATCATCTGGCACCTTCATTTTAGACTTCTGCCCTCCGCCGTGGTGAGAGGATGCAGTTTCCAAGTTCATGGCTGGCTGCCCTGGGGTAAGCTCCTTGCTGCTGCATTGGGGGTGGGGTATGGTTCTGTGGTACAGCATTTGCCCAGCATAATTAAGGTCCTTATAGACCCCATGCTTAGTTAGCACTGGGAGAAAAATACATTTTCCTATTAGGCAAGGGGAATATGTAAGTCACAGGGCCATATGGGACTAAACCTTCAACTACAAAATAGGTGAAGGCTCAGCAAATCATCCTAAAATGAGTACAGGTTTATCTGGACTCACAAGTTAGGGGTTGATGTCCAGGACTGATTGGCCCTGCTGTTAGAAGCCTTTGCAGCCATACTTAGCAGGGAATACATGGCAAAAGAGGCCAGGTTTAAAAAAAAAATATGAAAGAGTCTGTCTCCAACTCACATTAAGGGTACAATCCCAGTACCTAGCCTCCTCCCATTAGCCCAAGGTTCCAGCCCTCATCTTACAACACTGCCCTGTTGGGGACCAAGCCTTTAACTCCAGGGCCTGTTGGGGTAACTCAAGATCTAAGAGTGGCCCAAATTAACACAGGTGTGGAAGGTGGAGGGGCCTGAGCTCATGGGGTCTTAGGCTCTTGACAAGGTTCTCAGCTGCCCACGTGACAAGGCTACAGATCCAGTATCCAGGTCTGGCCTGTCTTCAGTCCAGCCAGCTCCTATTCAGCCTGTCTGTCTGAAGACACTCTCTCAAGCTGGCTCTTCTGGAGCCCAGCTCCTCCCCACCACCTGTGGCTGGGGTTGGGTCCCCAGTAGTGCCTACACTCCTTGCTCCATTCTTCCTGGCAGCAGAAAGGGGACACCCAGGGAAGGCCGCTGCCATCAGTAGGCCAAGGAATATGCCAAACACATGAGAAACTGCTGGGTCTTGAACTCCATGCTGGGGGAGTGGGGGTGGTATTAGCCCCAGGGGGTGGAGATCAGGAACAGGGAGACACATCTGTCTGCTTCGTTCATGTGCCATGGGTAACACCAACTCCCACTTGGTTGTAACGAATGATCTACCCACTCGGGAGCAATTAAGAGCAGGAGAAAACATCCCCTACACCAACTGCCATCTGTCACTCAGGGTTGACTGACAGGAACCCATTCCCTGACTTTATTTAAAGTCTGGCTAGGCACAGAAAGACACACACATACACACACATACATACACTAACCAGTTAAAATATTCAGATAAAATTTACTGTAACTTTTGTAGAATTTAATTTGTGCTACAAGATTTGTTGCATAGGAAACTATTCAAAGCCCCTGAGGAAAAATATCCATGGTTTAAGGTGCGACTGGTTTTGTTTCTTCTTTGGGGGAAAAAAGGTAAGGAGATGCTCTCTGGGCAAAAGGAAGGCGCGGAATAATGGGCATTTCTGTGGTGACCGGGGAGTCAAGTGATTAGTTCTCGCAGCACTCACACCTGCTGTTTAAGTCTGCTGGTCTGCAGTGTCTGACTCAGAGTCTACACATTTCAGCTCAATTCGGGGTTGTGCACTGGTCAAACAGGGCCATCAGCTTGTGCCAGCAAGGCAGACGGAGGGCAGTCCCCAGGGTCTGGAACTGCTCCTGGAAGCAGACAGCCTGAGTCCAGCCCATTACCAGGGTCACTTGGCTGCTGCTCTTTCTGGTAGGAGTTCTACTTCCTGTTCTCTCCCCCAAATGCCACAGCTAACTGTGTGACCCTGAAAGTCAACCTGGACCGCATGACCCACTACCTTGAAGTTCAATACAATCCTCTGCAAGCTCCCAGCTTTCCACGGATCATCGCACAGGGAATATGTTCCCTGTGCTAATATTTGCGCTGTGGGATGGCCAGCTCCCTTGTACTATTATTCCTAAGGAGATGTGGGCACACTGAGAAGGTTGAAAATGTGAGAGATGAAGTGTGGAGTTTGGCAATAGCAGATGGCACCTCTGCACGTCGGCATGTGACCTCACCTGAAAGGTCACCAGAAAGTCAGGGGCCACCAGGCTCTGGCTGGGTGCTAGCACTTTCTTCCCGCCTACAGCAGAGGCAGAGCTGCCCTGAGGAAGACCACACTCAATGTCCCAGAGTGGCAGGGACCACCTCCTTCTCAAGGTGCACTGTTCTGATGGATGATAAGTATATCATTGAGAAGAATGATGGGGACAGGGACCCCCTCCAACTCCAACTGATTTCTTAGTTGTTGGCAGAATCTTAATGGCAGTGAGCTGCCATGTGGGTGCTTTGCTGCTCACCAAAGCACACGGACCAACATGTCCTGTGAGGTCCACTGAGGACAAGGCAGAAGGAAGGGTGGGACCTCCGGTACCCGCAAGGCTCATCTACTAAAAGCCACCAGGTCCATGGACTTGCCTTCTCACAGGCGTCGAGGGGAAAAATGTCTGTAGGGTGCAAACTCCTTTCCACTCTGAGTGTCGAAATGCAAAGTACGTCTGGGACACAGAAACACCCGTGGCCTTTAAATATCTATATACACCTGGAACATCATTGAAAAAGGCCTTCAAAGAACATAAAAACCTCAACAGCATTTGCCTTTACTAAGGTGATTTTTTTTTAAATAGCCTTTACAGTCCATTAAAAAATTAGATACCACCTTTCGTTTGTCCTCTCTAAGTCTCTTGTTAAAAAAAAGTGATTTTAAATTTAAATGTACATTTCAACAAATAGAAAGCAACATGATTGGCAACGACTTCAATGTAGAAAGCCCCTGGGACCAGCCCCTGGAGAGAGGGGCGGGGCAGAGTCAGAGGCTGGGCGTGGCTGGCAGATGGACCTCTGCCTGAGCAGCCATCCCTTCCTGCCCCGCCTGGTGATGGCGAGGCCCCCACTGTGGACAGACGAAGGACAGATGATGGTCGGAGAGTTCCAGCTCTGGTGAGCACTAGGACAGGATCCTCAGTTAGATCACAAAGTCGTCATGGTCCACAGGGCTGAAGGCAGCTGCCCTCAGGATGTCCAGGGAGTTCACCAGGATCAGCGTTCCCGTGAGGTGCTTCCAGCGCCTGGTGATGGGATTCTTCATCTTGTCCAGGCCTATGTGCAGCTCTTGGATGACATCTCGGTAGCTGTCCCCAATCTGGTGGCTCCAGGTAAGCAAGAAGTCATAGGCGGGTTTCCACATGGCCTGGGAGACAGAGTTACCAAAAAGAGAGGAGAGGGAGAGGGAGAGAGAGAGAGAGAGAGAGAGAGAGAGAGAGAGAGAGAGAGATCAGAGGATGGTGAGCTACCTCAGCACTCCTCTGTTGCTCACTGGTCATTACTGTCACTCACAGCAGCAAGGGGAGCCATCTGTGGCACTGTGCCTGCACTGGGGAAAGGGTGGGGTCCCCTCCAGTGTCTGAGTCACTGCTTCCTCACAGAACCCACTTTCACCCATGCCGAGAGCATTAGAAATTGACCATGCAAAGAAAGCACACCTTTCCACTTGGGACTTCCTGCTTGCCCGTCTTGTGAGTCTGAATCAGCTTCCAGGGTCAGCCCCGTAAACAGTCAGTCTCTGGGCACGACTCCACCATACCCACCTTTGTCTAAGCCAGCAGGAATTCAGCCAATGCAGTGGACCCCGTAAAAGTAAAATGAGCAAGGGAGAGCAGCCCACACTTCGTAGATTGTGGCAGGGCTGCCTGACCTTCTATGCCAGGTTCTCTAGGCTGACGGCCCCACCCAGGCAGGGCATGCCTTGTATTGGGCACACTCACTTTACCTCATCTTACCCTCCTGGAGGGCTGTGAAGCAGACCATTTATTATGGTACCCCACGGCTCCCAGGAGCTGAGGGGCAAAGCCATGGAGTAAACAAGGGGTTGGAGCTCTGCTCACCTCACTGTCTACCACCCCATTCCTGTCTCGGTGGGGAGACTCATACGCGTCCATCTGCTGCTTGGAGACCTTGGCCAGCTTCTCGGCCAGCTCCCTCCAGCGCTGGGCCACTTCGACGGCTGTGGTCAGGAGCACGAAGTCCTGGATGAGTCTGACCACCAGGCCCTGGCAGTCCATTTTCAGCAACGCCTGGCAAGATGAAATGCGGTGTGAGGCCAGGGCAGGTTGGCTCTGGGGGAAGGTCAAGCTGCAGATGATTCTCTTCACCCTGAGGATTCCAAAGCCTGAGCTCTGTCCTGGCCTGCTGCCTAGCACCGTGCATGTACAAGGGACAGAAATGGCTTACAGGGTGTATGGGTTGGCACCGTCTCCAGAACTCAAGCTCAGGCCCCAGAAAGTGACTTAGCTTGGAAAGAAGCCTTTTCAGATACAGCATGACAAACCGTAAGACCACAGAGGGCAGGCCATCATGGCTGATGTCCTTATGGCCAGCCACCTATGAAGCAGGGCTGGACGGATACGCTTTCCCCAGAGTGATTAGAGGGAAGGTGAGTGGTATTTCCAGCCCCTGGGAAGACCTGACTTGAGTTGCTTGGCCAAGCATGTCCATCGTGCAAATATGAAGACATACTGGGAGATGCCAGGCAGTTAAGTCCAGAGGCCCCCAGCCAGAGACCAGAGGCCAGAGGCAGAAGAGGGCTAGTTTCTTGAGGCTCTTTCCATGTTGCTGGGCTCATGAGACTGGTCTCTGAACCAAACATGCCACCAGGGTGGAAGGGTTATACTTTATTTCCACTGCTTAGGTATTTCAGAAAGGGGTTGAATATCATTTGGATTTTGATATCTGTTAAGAAATTGTTTTTAATAAAACACAAATGTGTTCATGTTCCAGAAAAAAAAAAAAAAAGATGATCATGTGTGTGGTCACGTGTCTCGGAATGGATTGAGATATACCAGTGGCCAAGCGCTGGTCAGGTTTAAGCTTTGATGTGCTGTGAGTTTAGGAAGAAACTGAGGCAGGAAAGGTCACCTCAGGTCCATGGGTTGTCCTGGAAGAGACTGCAAATGAACGCAGGGCTTGACGGCGAGTTAGCCAATCACATCAAACAAGCCCGTGTGTCTGTGCACTGGGCTGCCTGGCTCTGGCGGTGGCCTCATGTGCTGGCTGACGGTGTGCATCAAATCACCTGCTTCGGATTCAAGTCACCCTTGGCAGAGGTCAGTAAACCTGCTCTCTCCCCAGGGCCTCTGGGCAGAGAACACAAAGGCCCTAGGAAATTCAGGCCACGCTCTGACCACTGCTGTACAGGAGGGCTCATGGCCAGATCCAGGGCAGCTAAGACTCCGTTTCTGTGAGTAGCTGATGAATGACGAGGCTTTTGATGTCAGGAGTGAGGGTGTCTCACCTTTGCTGCACTCTGCTCAGCTCTTCTCACACCACTTTACTGAGCCCAGCCCTGGCTCTGTCTGTTACCCAGCTGCTCCTACCACACAGTGCGTTTGAGTGCATTCTCCACAAGGGTGAGCTTTGGGTACACTTAGTCCTAGCAATGGAAAACGCACCCTCAGGATTCCAGCTCTGGGGATTCCCAGCCCTCAAACGGCTTACTCAAGTATTCAAAGGCATTCTGGGAAATACCGAAGGAAATAAAACACAATACCAACTTCAGATAGAATTCTCCTAATATGAGTGAAGGAACAGATTGAAATTGTGGCTTGTAGTCCACATGGCTTCTGTCCCAACTTCACAGGGGGCAGAAAGACAGCACCTAACAGCAGCTCTTGCAGTTTAATTTCTGTTGCAATAATAAACACCCTGACTTAAGGCAGCACGGGAGGAAGGGGTTTATCTGGGAGGTCACTGTAAGATGTTGTTTACAGTAACAGTTGGCCACAGGTTGTGTGGCTGTTAACCTGTTTTACCACTTCTTAGGCAAATAAAATAAGCTAGTATTTGGGCTTCTGTGTTTGTTTGTTTTCCTGAGATGCTCCGGTCTGGGTGGAAAAGCTCTCCTATACAACACAAGGCTGATGGAGCTACCTCTTCATCCAGTTAACCACAGAGCCGGGCCCTCTGTCTCTGGGGGCTTCCTGGTCTGTGGGATAAGGCGTGTTTTTCTTCTGAGCTATCCTGAGTTCCCTTGCCATCCTTCCAGCCTGGACTCTTCTGTTCTCTTGATAGCCACCCACCTTGGTGTCTCAGGCTCCTCAGTCCACTCACCTGCTGGAGACAACTCCCTTTCTGGCTTGTGCCCTACAAACTCACTCCCTTCTCTCTCACACAAACTCCTCCAAAGCGTCCATTGTAGCCCTCCTTCTATAGGTCTCACATTGTGACCCAATGGACTACTGGAGGCTTTGTTCTTGGTGTTGGCTCCAGCATGGGAAGGGACCACACAAAATAACATACATGGAACGTCCACAATCCTCCCAGGGTTTTACTGAGGCCACTGTGAGTTGTTTCTAAGTTCTTTTCCTCTCATTTCAGCCAATGACCTCTCTCTCCCTGTAAGAACAGAGACCGCTGGGCCCACCTGCAGTGGTGTCTTTAAAATGGGCAACATCTTACACCAAAGGCACGCTGTCTGGGACTAGAGAGATGACCCTTCCCCCCCAGCCTCCTCAAACCTGTTCGGTGAGATGGCAGTACCTCAGATCTAGAAGGTGCACACGGGCCTGCAGGGTGTCTCACTCACTGTATTCACAGAATAAACACACATGAACATGTGTCTTGCCCTCCTTCCCAAAGGCCCACACAACACTGTGGAAGATGCACCAGGATTTCCACATTAGAAACAGAACATAGTCTGCAAGCTCCCATACCAAACTTTCCCCCACACCTGCCAGGGACTGGGCCAATGACGTCAGGGATGGCACATCTCAGAACTTTCAAAGCATGTCCTGTCACTCTTAGGCAGCAGACTCCAAAGTGACACTGGCTATCTATGTCCCTAATGGAGTTTTCTGCTCTCTGGAAAAAGCCTGTGACTAGGAACACAATGGACAGGCTTCCCACATGGTCTCCAATTTCAATGGTCATCAGAACCATCAGTGCCTCCTATCAGATAGGCAAATGTACCCGCATGCAGGCTGCCCCAGAAAAGCCAACTGTGGAACACCTGCTGCAAAATCCTGCCCATTGTCACTGGAGGGAGACTGGAGGCCCTGAGAGACATAAGCTGCTAGCCCTTGTCACACACAGGGAGAGGACGAGAGCAGAGAAACAAAGCACAGCGTGGCCCACAAGAGCACAGAAGGCTCGGATGCATCTCAGCTCAAGCCATTGCTCCCACTCCCACTCATTCATTCACTCACTGTCCCGCTCTCCCTCTTTGAGGTTTCCCTCTGTGCTCTCCTTCCTCCATGGAGGAAGGTCTAGCAGAGGGCAGTAATGAGAGGCAGGTGTACAGCAGCCCTGACCTGAGCAAGCACTGTGAAGATCCAGGAATACAAGCTGCTTCATCAAGGGCTGGAACAGGCATCTGAGAGAATACATCGTCAGGAGCTCCAGGCAAGAGGGACACAGCTCCAGGCAAGGGGACAGCTGGTGCATGCAGGACACAGGCAAAAGGCCCCAGCAGAGGCATGGGCTGTCACAGGCCCAAGGAGCAGGTGAGAAGCCCGGTGGCCATGGAGAGGAGCCTCCAGCACTTAGTAGGCCTCTCTCTCCCACTCAGCACAGTGACCACCTCAAAACCTTCAACCTCCTACTTACTCTAGTTATAGTGGCCAGAGCGGGGAAGTTGAAGACGCAAAGACAACTTACAAACAGAAGGGGGTGCTGGCCTAGGTGTGCCCTGCCAGCTGGGGCCAGTCTGCAGGAAACCTGACTGACCGACCCTTGGTTGCCAATGTTGGGGTCATCCAGATGATGGGGTTAGCCAGCCGTGGGGTTTTGAAGTTTGGCCAGCCATTAAAATTCAGCTGCTCAGGAGGCAAAATGCCCAAGATAGCTGGGGAGAACAGAACATAGAGGGACCTGTTTTCTTTTTATTATAAAACTGCCCTTGCCCCAGGGCCAAGTTCCAGCCAAGGCCAAGCTGCATCTCCCAGGAAGGCAGAGGGGACTCAGAGGAAGACAGGACCCTTCTGAGCCATCCCACAGACCAAAGAAACAAAAATCCTCTCCAAAACTTGCCACGAAAAGCAATTAGGTAAATAGGCACAAAGCCCCCATCTATGGCGTTTGCCCACAGAGGAAGGAACTGGGCCTATTCCAGGTGGCTGGCGTCCTTCAGCCGTGGGAGGGACAAGCGATGCTGTTTATGCTCCGTGGAAGCATCTAGTTCTGCAATCGGTGTAGGGTGCTGTTACAGGAACACAAGCTCCTGCCCTGGGGAACTCCAGCCAGCCAGGGAGGCCAGGGCAAGGGGGAGGGGAGGAGCTGCTCCATGACCTTCTGAAAATCTGTTTCACATGGCAATATAGCTGAAAGAGATCTGCTCAACTCCTGTGGGTGACCTACATGCAGAGCCCATGGCTGTAACCACTCACTTCTGGCTTCTTTCCCAGTGAAACCACTGCCATCAAGGCCCCCGGGACCTAACTGTCAGGGCCCTCATAGCTGCCATTCACACTGCCATCTCCCTTCCTGAGGAGTCTCAAGCCTGTTTGCCCCATGATGTGGCATGACATGTTACCATGGGCCATATTCAAAGGGTCCCATGCCCTGCTCTACCTCAGAGGGTTATCTGTATAGACTCAGAGAGATGCTTGATGATGTCATACAGAGAGGGCAGGTGGAAATGGGACATGGTGTAGAAGAGCAGCCAAAAACCTGGGGACAGCAGAAGCGGGAAGGGTCAAGAAGAGGTCGCTGACCATGGTGACCATCAGAACCACACAACTGGAGTGGGCTGCCTGTGGAAACCACATGGTTGTTCCACTGCCCTATGCTCCAAAGCCCAGGTTGCTGGAAGACCCGAGAAGTTCTCAGAAAATGTCCCTAGCTGGCTTGTGGTCGGTGTGTTTCAGAAAGAATCATGGGACCTCTCCTTTCCAAGCATTTCTTAGAATGCAGATTTGTTTTATATCAGCCAAGAGCCTGTTCCCCATGGACTCAAATGAACCCCAGGCAGGGAGAAGGCATCACGATAAAGACAGATGTTAGAGGCATCAGGTAATGGGAGGCAAGAACTCACATCAGAGCAAGGCCAGGCTTTGGGGCAAAGGCTTTTAGCACTATATCCCAGAGCCTGTCGTGGACCTAACGGTGCAGACACAAAGATCCCAGCACAAGCCTCTGGACCACGGCCCTGTCCCTTCTTCCCACCGGGTCTTAGTTTGCTTTCTACTGCTGTGACGAACATCACGACCCAAAGCAACTTGGGAGAAGGAAGGGTTTATGTGGCTTACACATCCTGATCACAGTCAATCCCTGCAAGAAGACAGGGTGGAACTCAAGCAGGAGCCGAGGTAGGAACCATGGAGCGATGCTGCTTATGGGCTTGCTACCCATGGCTTGTTCAGTTTGTTTTCTCCTTCTCATTTTTTTTTATTTATTTGTTTGTTCATTTGTTTTTGAGACAGGGTTTCTCTGTGTAGTCTTGGCTGTCCTGGACTCACTTTGTATACCTGGTTGGCCTCGAACTCACGGAAATAAGCCTGCCTCTGTCTCTCAAGAGTGCTGGGATTACAGGCGTGTGCCACCCTGACCAGCTTCAGTCTGCTTTCTTATATCTGATGACCTGTCAGGGACAGCACACCCCATAGTGGGCTGGACCCTCTCACATCAATCATTAATCAAGAAAGTGGCCACAGACTTGCCCTTAAGCCAATCTGATGGAGGTAATTTCTCAACTTCCTGGGGAACTCTACAGTTTGTGTCAAGTTGTCAAACACTAACTAGTGAACACAAGTCCACCAGAAACCATACAGAGGCTCATAAATGTAGAAGATGGGGAGAGACACCTTCCCTGGGGTCCTTAAGGAGCCTACCCTACGACACTTCCAATACTGTCCCTGTGACTTGGCCCAAGATGACCAGACTGGTCAACCCGAGGGCTGGATACACGCTCAGCACTCACCATCACCAGCTCCTTCTGGAAGGACTTCCGGTCCTTGTTGTCAGGGTTGTTACAGTCTTCCTTCAGCTTCTCCAGGACAGATGCCACCCGCTCTGGCTCGCTGTCCAGCTCCGCCCGGCAGAAGAAGGTGAGCGGCAGTTTCCCGTAGCCCAGGGCGTCAGCGAAGGCCCGCCAGCTGCTGATGTTCTCCATGAGCAAGGTCCTCACAGAGGCATAGATGTAGGTGAGGAACTTGCAGGGCCGGAGGATCTGCTCCAGCAGCACCGAGGTGCTCAGCTCGGGCCCTGAGAACAGGCTGGGCCGGGCCTTGCCGACGACCAGCACATTCTTGGTGTGCACCAAGCCCACCTTGCCCTGATAGTAGCCAATGTACCACTCCTTGGTCCACAGCTGTCCCTTGAGCCGGATGCGTTCCTCGCTGAGCAGGGCCACGGCATCGCCCTTCTTGTACTCCAGCAGGTAGTGGCTCTTGTTCTGTCGCACCACAGTCTTTAGCAGCTTGCCGAACTTGAGACTGGACACGGGGCGGTCCTGAAACGTCGGGTACTTGGTGGTGACAACGAACGGGGACAGGATGATCTTCCCCACCTCGTTCTTCTTTAGAAATCTCCTCTGCCCGGATGGTTTAATGGCGCTCTTAGGGGGTGGCTGCGGAGTCTGGACACAGAACTGCGTGAGAATGGTGTCCTGATCGTCCTTGACCTGTACCCTCAGTGTGAAGTCGGACAGCTCGTTGGGGTTCTGGGAGATGACGGAGAAGATCAGACGGCTAACCTTGCCCAGTTTCATCTGGAACCCTCTCACCACTTTAGCTTGCTCGTTGGCCTTGACCTCATAGTTGGTCATATTGGAGAACATACACACCTTGAGATCCTGGGGCCTGGACAAGATGAACTGGTGCTTGCCCCACAGCTGCAGGGCCACAGGGGCGGGGCTGGGGGCCTGCCGAGTAACCTCACTGACCAGGAGGGTCTTTGGGGCGCAATCGTGTCCAAAAATGGTCACGACTGTCTTGAAGGACGGATGGATGTGTTTGGGACCATAGAGACCCACAGTGACCCTCTTATGGATGAAATCCCACACGGTGGAAGGGTAGAGGATGTGGGGGCCCTGGGCGACAATAGCTAGGTACATGCAGGGCTCCAGGTTGTCCAGCTGTACCTGTACCGTGTCCCCACAGCTGTAGGCGAGGGGGACGGGCACGTAAGGCCCCTCCTTCGAGTCACTTCTCAGGCACTGCAGGGCCACCGTGCTCTTGCTGAAGAGGTCGTCCTTCACCTCCGCAGAGACCTTCATCTCCAGGATGACGAAGGTGTTCACCTCCAGGTTGCTCAGCTTCACCTCCACCACGGGGCTGACGCTGCTGGATCTGTCACTGTTGAGCTCCAGGGGCGGGTCCAGCAGGGCTCTCATGGATATCTGCTGTGTCTCCCCCGGGGCTACATGGCCCTCGGGCACGTGGATGCTGATGTTGGTGTCAGGAAGCTGCACGGAGCCCCCGGAGCTATCCAGCTTGCACACAATATTTGTCTCCACTGCTTGTGTCTGGCCCCAACCTGGGCTTTGGCCGAGCAGGTCCAAGTCATGGCAGGATCGGGCCAGCTTCCGGTGATTCAGCCAGGCGGTTCGGAAGTCTTCTCGGCTTTGGAACTGTTCTGGGGCAGGTGACTTCAGGCCCGTGAAGAAGCTGGACGTGGCAGGGGTGTCGGATTTGGCTTGCAGGACGGAGAGCTCCGAAAGGCTGTAGGAACGCTTGCTTCTGAAGAAGGGGTTGTCCCGCTTGGCGGGCTCCTCCACGAGGAGTCCGTTGGCAGCCGGGAGCTCATCGAAGATGTTGCCAGTGCTGTTGGTGGTGGCCGAGCTGGATTCGGTGAAGGAAGATGTGCCTGTGTCAAACAGGAGCAAATCCACAGTAGTCTTAGGGTTCAGCTCATCCATGCTGGGTCGTGCATTTCCATTCAGAAAGGGGTTCGTTTGGACGCCATTCCAGAAGGGGTTGTTACTATAGGGCCTGCTGGATTCTTTCTGGTCGTCCGTCCAGCCCCCTAGCAGTTCTAGCTCCTTGGCAACTTCGTCAGGGCTGTCCGGGAGATTGTCAATCATGCCACTGTCACTCAGGGTAGAATTCCGGTAGTTCAACGGCTGCACGTAGGAGGAAGGGATGTAGCCCATCTCGGTGGTGTTGTGGGCGTACCACCACTCCCCGCCAGACGTGTCCAAGACGTACAGGTGGTCGCCCTTGGAGAACTTGAGGGTGGTGAAGTTGTTTGGGCAATAGTCTTTAATCGCAATCACTTCCTTTGCGTTTCCAAAAGGCGTGGGGTTGTCCACTAGCAAGGCACTGGGAGAAGGCACTGCGCAAGACACAGAGACACAGAGTAAAGCCAGGCCCACAGGCACAGGAGACACTTCCAAGCTGGGGGCGGGGAGGGGTGGGCTAGAAGCAGACTGCTATGACGCGGTCACCAACCCAGCCAGGAAACACTGTGAAGACTCATGTGAGCCCCACGTGGCCTGTGTGATGACTCGGGAGCACTCTGCTGGTCTGGCACTCACCCGCTTCCAAATTCAACCTTCTAATGGAGGCCAAAGACCCGGAAGAATGTCCCTCAAATACCTGAGAAAGGCAGGCCACATGATAGGTAGTGCACATGTCCCTGTGTTCTGAGCATCTCATTTTGATAAAAGTTTTTATCTAATTTCTGACCAGGACTGTCACTATGACGAAAGGGAGGACAAACGTGAAACACTGAAGGGAACACACTAGGCAGAGGCACAGTGACAGTACAGGCCAGGCAGTGAAACCGTGATGTTATAGGCCAGGCATAGCACGGTGACAGTACAGCCAGGCATAGCACGGTGACA